TGAGAACACATGACACAGGGAGGGGAGCACTACACACTGGGGTCAGATGGGGGGAAAGAGGGGAGGGATGGTGGGGGGTGGGGAGCTGGGGAGAGATAGCAAGGGGAGAGATGCCAGATGTAGGTGATGGGGAGGAAGGCAGCAAATCACACTGCCACGCGTGTACCTATGCAACAATCTTCCATGTTCTTCACATGTACCCCAAAACCTAAAATGCAATAAAATAAATAAATGCAAAAAAAAAAAAGATTTCAGAGTGGTTTGGAGGAAGGAGTCAGGCAGGCCACAGACAAGGCTGTTCCAACCATCTGGATGTGAAATAATTGGGATCTCAAATTCAAATGCCTGCAGAGCAAGGCAAGGGATACAGATGATGGAGGGGCTTTCTTAGCCTGAAAAGCAGATGTCCATTCCTGCAGCTGGTGGATGGACAGCCCTTGTACCAGTCAGGGCTCTCTGGGGAAACAGAACCCATGGAATATATGTTAGAGATCTGAAAGGCAGGCTGGAAACTCAGGCAGGATTTCTATACCACAGCCTTGAGGCAGAATTCCTCCTTGTCTGGGAAACCTCAGGTTTTGCTCTTAAGACCTTCACCTGGTTGGATGAAGCCCATGGACATTGTGGAATGTCATCTCCTTTGCTTAGTCAACTGGTTTTATATATTAATCAGATCTACAAGATACCTTCACAGCAACGTCTAGACTGATGTTTGACCAAAGAGGTAGGCACTACAACCTCGCCAGGTTGACATATAAAATTTAACCATCACGGTTCCCAGGCAGGAAGGTGTGGACCACACTGTGGCCTTGCTTGTTCCCAGAGACATTACACAGCCCCACTCCCTTCCTCCTACACCAGCGTAGTGAGAGGCTGGGGATGGCTGCTCTGCCTCAGCCCTGGATCTGATGTGAGCTGGCAACTTGTTCCCAGTGCATATGCCCATAGGAGAATTAACTCGAAGGAGAAGAAACCGTTCCCTTTTAAGACCTGGCCCAGGGCACTCTGCTCTGATGGCAACAACATGCCTTGTCATTTCTTCCCTAGCTGATCCTCACTGGCAGGGGGCCCCAGGATCACTGAAGCTTTTAGATTTGAGCAGACAGTCTGGAGTTCCCTCCTGCATGCCCTTCTGATGATAAGTAAGGTGTACTGTAGTAGCTACATTTATGGTCTTTGGTGTCAGGGACTAGGCTCAAAGCCCAGTCTCATGGGCTATGGTCGTGACCTTGGGGATGCCTCTTATCTTCCTTGTGCCTCAGTTTCCCCATCTGTAAAAGGGGTGTAATAATTATATATACTTCAGATACTTTAGAGATCTGAGGGATTGAGTGTGATGATGCATGAATCACTTAGCACAGTGCATGAGACATGAGTGCGTTTCACCAGTTTTGGCTTTTCTAGACTCAGTTGAGCTGGGCCCAGAGGCTCCTGTGTGTAATCCCAGCACTTTGGGAGGCTAATGTGGGAGGATTTATTGAGCCCAGGAGTTTGAGATCAGCCTGGGCAACATAGTGAGACCCCATCTTTTAAAAAAAAATTAACTGGGCATGGTTACTCATGCCTGGAGTCCCAGCTACCCAAGAGGCTGAGGTGGGAGTATTATTTGAGCCTGGGAGATTGAGGCTGCAGTGAGCTGTGATCATGCCACTGCCCTCTAGCCTGGGAGGCAGAATGAAACCCTGTCTCAAAATAAAACAAAACAAAACACACACACACACACACACACACACACACACACACAC